GGCGATCACCACCTGACTTGATCGAATAGTGCAAAATTAGTTACCAAAATTGCAACAAAATCGTAAAATGTACTATCGAAATTGTATCAAATTTATAAACAAATCGTAAATAAATAGAAAAGTATTCTTATATGTTTAAGTTATTGTTCTTTTGAAAATGTAAAGTTTTAGTAAATTATATTAGACAGCTTTGAAAAAAATGCATATAACTAAGAATAAATACACTGTAACTAACTTCTAATAGATAAATATTTGTCATTTGTAAATTGTAACCTACAATACTTACCGGTAATCTAGTATTATCCCATTAATATAAAACTTCACCCAATTGAAAATAAAGTAAATCTTATGCCATTATTAAATAAATCAAGGACTGGAAAATCAACAGCGGGTCAATTGTGGAATTGCTTGAACTTGTCCATTTCTCCATGAAGTATCCGATGTACTTCATTTAGTGTTCAAGGATAAATCATGGAAGATATTATGTAAGAAAATGGATCAACTTCGGTCCTCTATTTACCAATTTGCATGGAGATTTGCTTAACATTTTATCAAGTGAATAGATTACGAAGTCAGGTGGGTTTGCTAGTCCTCTAAACAAAAAATCAAAGAGTCAAGGCTCAAAGATCCGTTCTGGTATTCCCAAGTCAAGTTGGATTCCTACAAAATATAAATAGACATAATAAAAAGTCTCCACATATCCAAAAATTCAGTTGCCTAGGAAAAAAGAAAATATTGAAACATTAATATGACATTTCATTAAAGAAATAAATTCAAAGAAAATTCCATTATCCACCAAAATCTACGTCCAAATATCTTGTCATAAACTCATGGGTAGAAATTGTTGATCTTCGGTACAATCAGCTTGTAGAGTTGGGTGTGATTTCTTTTAATATGCTCTTAACTTGAGTTTGTTCCTTAATAAATATAATACTACTAGTATAATATCATTTATCATGACACCTAAAAAGAAAAGAGTTTAAAAGTAAGATGTTTCATTAAAAGAAATAAATCAAAGAAATATTCTGGCACCCATCAAATCCACACGTCCAAAGATCTGGTTGGTTAAAAAAAAGAGAAGAATCGAAATATTAGAAAATATTTCATTGAAAGAAATATATTAAAAAATTCCTGATTACTCACCAGAGTTCTACATGTATATGATGACAAATCCTAAAAGAAGAAGATTAGTACCAAAGACAATAAGAAAAAACAGTAAATAATTAAAAAATGCCCAAACTCACCTTCATTCCCACAAGAAAATGCCAGAACCTAAAAAAAAAGAAGTACCAAATCCTAGAAAAATGAAAAGTAGATGATTGTTAGTAACTCCATCTCAAAGTGAACTGACAAAAGGAAAAAAAATAATCCATTTGGACTCTTTTTACGTATTAGTGGTCAAACTAAATCCTACACTAATGCCATTCCAACCAGCAAAAGCACAATTTTCATTGATTTGATATCATTTTCTGGGAGCTTTGATAATAGTTAATTTTTTAAAAATAAAACCTCGAGAGAGTTTCTGAGATCTAAAAAAAGAAGCTAAAACCTACAAAAAGAATGAAAGTCAAAAGTTACTAACAAAGAGAAAAAGAAACAAAAAAAAACAAAAAAAATCTAAAATAGTGAAATATACAGAAAAAAGAAAGAAAATGAATACTCACCAGCTGACTAAAAAATAAGTAACGATTATTTATATGAGAGGAAAGAGAAAAGGGGAAAAGGAAAACAAAAAAAAAGGGAAAAAGAAATTGCGAGAGAGAGGAAAAAGTAAGAATAAAAGAGGGAGGAAAAGAATGAAAAGGGTGAAAAAAGGTTAAAAAAGGTTAAAAAGGGAAAGGGAAGACGAAAAAGAGGGAAAAGAATTGCGAGAGAGAGGAAAAAGAAAGAATAAAAAGGGAAGAAAAGAATGAAAGAAGAGTGAAAAAAGGTTAAAAAAGGTTAAAAAAGGTTAAAAAGGGAAAGGAAAGACGAAAAAGAGGAAAAGAGAAATTGCAAGAGAGAGGAAAAGGACGGCTAAAATTTTAAAAATCACGTGACACCGGAGAATGAAAGAGGAAGGGAAAGATTGAAAGAAGGGTAAAAAAAAGTTTAAAAAAGTTTAAAAAGCGACTGATGATCTTAGTTTCTTGCTTAATTTTCATTATATTGCATATATAATTTTACTGATAATAGAATTTTTTATATTTGCATTTAATTTCACGAATTTTTAACACTTCAAAAAAGAACTATTATTGAAAACTTGGCAAAAAATGTAGTCACAAGATTAGTGACAAGCACGTGACTGTTACGTTGCAAAACACGCGAAGAATATATTTCATTCATTTTGAAGATTATCATTTTGGATAAGTATAGTTAAAATTTTTTTGGAATTGAAAAATTTGGTGAATTAAAAATTTTAGTTGGTTCTTGTTTAGAAATTAAATCTTTGCAATATTTGAAGCTTTAAGAAAGAATCATTCTCAAAAACTTGCTTGATATATCAAATCAAAATTTTGTTCTATTCAAATTGCTTTATTTTTCAATCAAAATAAATTCTAAATAGTCCCATTATATTCTTCCAAAGAAGTTTTCCTTCATAGATATACCTAAATAGATGTAAATGATTTTTAAATTTATATTCATAATATTGCAATTTATAACAAGTAAATGTTGTAATTTGAATGTGTTCATCCAAAATCTTTTTCTATATCTCAGATTTTGTATAATTTTATTATTAAGAAATATGTATAAAAATGTAAAAAAACGCATATTTCTCATTCTAACAATAACAATCAACCAGAAGTACGAATTTTTTTTAACAAATAGAAAATATTACCGTGAATTTTTGCTTGTGACATATGATTTAATAAAATCTTTGCTAATTATTTCAATTTCAAGCTATTCAGAATAATATCATAATTTAGTACAATTTAATCAATTTGTCATAAAACATGTTATAAACGTTATCCCTTATTTATTATAAAATTCTTAGCCCATTTTTACGTGAATACAGTATAAAAATAATCAATGTAACTTTAAAATGTATAAATACAAGTTGGTTTCAGACTTACATTTGATATCATCGCCTTTAAAAATAATAAATGATAATAATAAAAATAATAAATAAACACTTTTCTTTGTTAAAAACATAATAGTAGTTGGTTACTGATTATGGTGAGGATGCAGGTTCAGTCGTGATAAAGTGGTCTGAGAAAAAGATCTGCTATCCCCAATTCTCCATATATATAGTAGATATGTGATTAAAAAGAAATCAATAGTAATTAAGCTAGTTACCAGGCAAGTGAATAAAAATTTTAGTATTGCACTAAGAGTTGTTATAGGAAATCTACCTATAGTAAAGTAATTCATTGTGTGGCTATCTAGCTTAAAGAAATCTGAGATGTGGGAGAAGTGCTTAGTGAAATGATGCTCGCCTAGAAAATTTTATAAAATAGAAATTATGAGTATTAATAATAAGTATGATAAACTCGCTCAGATAAAAGTTTGATAAAATTATATAAAAGTATTAACTTCATGTAATATGAAATTTAATGAAAAATAATCAAAGATTGAATAGAAATAATGCAGTGAAATATTTTTATATCAATTATAGAAAGGTATAGGGGTTGAGTAAGATTTATTATAATGAGTATTTGGAAGGATTTTTGATTATGAAATTTAATAAAATTGAATAATAGAATTGTAAATAAGAGTTATATTAGAATGACTACGAAGTTATGATGTATAAGTAATGATGTGTGAGTCTGATATAGCCAAAGTCTAAAGAGGGAAGAATTCTTATTTGTGAAATTTTAATGCTGGACATAAAAGAATTTAATTGTAAAAGGTTTGATAAATTGAGAAAATGTGAAAGAGAATCTAAATATATGAAATGTAGTAATGAAAAATTATTAGTAAAGTTAAATTATAACTTGTTTTATAATATATGAAAATATTATTAAATTTAATATTAGTATAACAAATATTATATATAAATTAATAAAATTACTTTAAAAAAACATTAAAATAATTTATATTTTTATTTTGTAATTTTATAATTTGTTATAGAATCTAAAAAGATAGAAAAATTCAGTAAATACTAAAAATTAAATATTTTAAACTTATTAATGAATAATTAGTAGTATATTAAATATATTATTAAATATACTTTAAATTTTGTTATAATTATAATTAGATATTACTTCTTCAATAGGTTTACATAAAATACGACGAAAACCAATTACTAAAATAACAAATCCTTTTAATTTATTAGGATTTGAATTAATTATTTCAATACGTTCATCAAATACTCCTGAACTAGAATAATTAGCAACTTTTCCTTTTGAAATTGTATTCATATATGATTTCAATTGACTTATACCATTATTTAGTATTTCACCTATAGTTGTCTGATTAGTCTTTTTTAATTCTTTTGACCAATATGTATATGATCTTTTTAATAAAATTTCTTCATTTTCTTTTTCAAGAATTTTATCTAAATTTTCTAATTCATTTGCACCAAATCCAACTTTTTGATTTTTTATCAAACCAATCAATGAAATATATTTTAATTCTAAGCTAATATAATTATCTCCTATTCCTTTTAAAACAAAAATATCTGAATAACCAAAGCGACCTGATCCTTTTGATTTTTTGCCATCCATTACTAATGAAAGTTCTGGAAAACGATATTTTAATGGCAAAAGAATTTCAACAATTGCTTGAAGCATAGATTCATTTGCCAAAGATAAAGACATTTTTGATCTTGTTAACAGAAAAGTTTTTAAAATTTCAATAAAAGGTATAATATTACCTATAACAAGATTTTCATATGCTGAAGCAATAAGAAGTGCATCATTAACAACCTGTCTATATGTTAAATTGTTCTTATTTTGTTCTAAAGTTTGAATTTGTTTCTTCCAAGATCTATCAGTATCTTCAGTATTATCATCTCTTACTCTTTTTAATTCTCTTGTTTGTCTATCTTGAAGAATCAGATTTTTATTCCATTTTTTATTAAAAATACATTCTAATGCTTTACCTAAACTATATATTTCACTTTCAACATCATTATATGTATAACAATTGCAAAATATTAAACGAATATCATTTTCAAATTCTTCTAAACTTGTATATTGATTATTTTTTAATTTTAATTTTATAGTAAATAAATCCATTGGATGTTTTATAATCTTATTTTTAATATCTCTTTCAATATATTTATAGAATAAATTAGCATAAGATTTGTTTTCAAGTGCATGAAGTATATCATAACAAAAGGCAGTATATTGAAATTTCTTATTAGGTAAAACTGATTGTAAAGTTTCAGAATGATTTTCAACAGGAATTTTAACTGTTTTTTTTGAAAGTAATACAACTGTTTCAGCAAGTACTAGATTTTCCTTTTCATATTCCTTAATAATTTGTAAATCTGGTTGTAAAGTTTTAGAAAGACTTGAATCTTTACTTGTCTGCTTTTTTGGAAGTGATGTATATGGTTGAGAAATTTCAGTAAGTATATCTTTACTTGTCTGCTTTTTTGGAAGTGATGTATCTGGTTGAGAAATTTCAGTAAGTATTAGATTCTTTTTAATAACTTCTTGCTTCTTTTTAGTTAAATCTAATTGTAAAGTTTCAGAAATATCAAATTCTTTAATGATTTCTTGCCAGAATATTTGTAATTCTTTTATACGTTGTAAATGTTCTGTTTTTATCTGTAATAAGAAGAAATTGTTAATAGTGCACAATTTTTTATTTAGTAGTAAAGAAGGTACATAGCCAGTTCCTCCTCCAGAACAAGCAGACTTTACTAAACAACAAAGTTAGGGTGCCTGAATTGAGAGCAAGGGTTGATTACCAAACCAACGAATCCAGTAATTCTCATTAAGTGACCACGACCAGTTTTAAGAGTTACCCACACTTTGCAAAATAAAAAATAAATGCACCTTATCCTTTACTGCAACAAAAATATCTGGTTCAAATAAGTTTTTGGCTACATTTAAAAAGCGGTTGTACCAGGTAACATCAAAATTTTGCCATTTGTCCAAGTCCAATACTAATGAAGAGTTAGTTAGTGAATTTAGTGAAGAAATAATAATATCTCGGTTAAGACTCAAAAATCTATAGTAGTAAGTCTGATTTTTTGATTCAATTAAGTAAGAAACAAGAGCTAATAGTAGTTAATGAGTTAGTGAATGAACTCTTGTTAAAGTAAAGATTTAGAATTTAGAATTTAGATTTATTCTTACCATCATATCCAATATAAATTTCAGTTATATTCATGATTCATTCATTAACTTATATATATATTATATATATATATGAAATAATAATAATAAAATAATATAATAAAGTATCTGTAAAAAATGTGTATTAGAAAAAAAAAAAGCAAGTTAAAAGTTGAGAAATTGGGGATTTAAATATAAAAAAATCATATGACTCATTGACACAAAAAAAGCATTATCAAATATTCAGCTTTTGTCAGTCCAACTCATTATTACAAAAGATTATAAACTTTATATGCAATTCATGTAAGAATGAATAAAAATTGCTCACATTGCATATATAACATTTTTTCATATTAATCTAGAACAAACTAGTAAAAAAACAGTATCATGATGTATTTAACATGATGCAATCCATGTAAGAATGAATAAATATTGCTCATATTGCATAAATAGGATTGCATTTTTCATATTAATTTAGAACAAACTAGTGAAAAAATAAGTATCATGATGTATTTAACATGATGCAATCCATGTAAGAATGAATAAATATGGCTCACATTGCAGAAATATAATCATAATTTAACATTCATAAGGAAAAAAGATTTATCATTTCACACTTTATTATCAATAAATGTCTATATAGTACAGAATTTACTTTTAATTAATTAATTATGCATCAGGGTTTAAGCCTAAGGGACTCACAACCTACTACCACCTTCACTGCTTGTAATATCTTGGTCCCTATGTGAGATCAATTATATAAGTTAATTGAAATCCGATTAATAAATGAGTTGTTTAGATGAGTAATAATATAATATCACAAATTTCATCCAGTATTATTGCTAGTATAATTAATATCCTGTATACAATGTTTTAAAGATATGATTACTAGACATTTATTAATAATGAGAGAAATTTTTTGTATTAAGAGTCAATTTAAATAAGAGGATAACGTTTATAATGTGTTTTATGGTAAATTGCAAAAATGATGTTAAAAAAACATGTTTATTTTTATCAAAATTGAAATAATTAACATCAAATAATATGATACAAGTATAAATTCACAGTAATATTCATTGTCTTCGATCCTTTGTAAAAAAAAAGAATTTATACTTCTGGTTGGTTGTTATTTCTAGAATGAGAAATATGTGTTTTTATATTTTTATGCATATCGCTTAATAAAGTTTATACAAAATCTTATTTTTAAAATTAATTAAGATATTTTCAATCACAAAAATTTTTCATATTAGGATTAAAATTATACGACAAAGTCAAAATAAAATCTATCATATCAAAATATACCATATCAAAAATATTTAAAAATACATTAATATTCAAAATCCTGTTTAGCATAATTCTTACTAATTTATAAAAAAAATTCATTTTGAAAAGAAAAAAAAAGGAGTTTGCTATTTATCGCCGGCGTCACGTGATTTCTTTAATTTTGGCCGGAATTAAATGATCGACATAGAAAATGCCTTTTTGGAATCTTGTGTAACCAACTTTATCGATTTTTATGAGAAACAAAATTGCCTTTTTTGGATTGTATAACGTTACTCAAGTTTCCAAAAAGGCAATTTTGGCTGGAATTATAAAATTTAGCTGAAATTATGGGATGTGACGAATAAGGGTGACAAATAGGATTTTTCATACTAAAAAAATTCTGTCCCTAGAATACATAGTAAAAACGGAAACAAGGAGGGTGTGACGCGGGGTGACAAATTATACATTATTAAAAATCACGTGACACCGGTGATGATCGCCTCCGGCGATTCATAGCAATTTTAAAATAAATAAATAAATAAATATAAAAATAAAATAATAATACACTTAAAAGTAAACATTAAACAGGTAATTTTATAAAAAAAAGTTTTGGAAAATAATGTTTATATGAAAAAAATTATATCATGCCACCTGATAATATTGGTAATGCCAACCAAAATTTAGTTGTTAATTACCTTTAAATTATGATTTTTGTTTAAACTGTTTTCTGTACTATTATTTAACTCACTATTTGAACCTACATTAAATCATAAAAAAACCAATATTATTCATTAATTATTTTATTTATACCTTAATTAGTTTTCAATTGAGAAATATCAATTTATAAAGATTTTATTTAATATATAAAAAATTTTATTACCATCCTTGTAAATTGTTGCATTTTTCAAAAATATAGTAGTTGTTACTATTATTACTGGTCAAAATAAAAACTTTCAGTCATATGACAAATCGGCTGATCTGTCACACATTTCGGCCAAATTTTGGAAATTATTAAAATAGGCCAAATTTCAACATATATGATTTATGGTCGATTTATTGAATTATTTAATCAAATGTTATGCATTATGCATTACACATATTAAAAGTTTAAAAAAGGATCATCTTATACATCCTTTTTTAAACTTTTTTTAATTTTTTTCTTCCCCTCCCCTTTCCTTTCCTTCGTTCCCCTTCCCTGTTTCCCCTTCTTCCCTTTCTCTTCCTTCATTCTCCTTTTCCTTCCTTCCCTTTTCCTTCCTTCCCCTTCCCCCTTTCACTTTTTTTACTTTTTTTTTTATAGGTTCAGCTTTCGGGTGGGCTTTCAAAGTACAGAAACTCCAAAGATTCATAAGTACGAATTCTTTGAAGTTTATTTTATTTTTTTCTGTATTGAAGAATTTATTAATCATATTTCCATCACAAATCAATTATGTTTTTTCTTAAAAAGATTGTTTGATGACACAGAATTTTATTTAACAATATAAAGGAAATAATATATATAAAATATGAATAAAAATAAATCACTATTTTATAGAAAAAATATTAAAAATATTACAAATCAACGTCAATATTACACAATTTGAAATACTTCAAATTCTTCTATATAGGAAAGATCGAACTCTTTGAAATCTTTTTCATAGGAATTTTTTTCACAACCAATTCTTAATTTATCAGACATATCTCTATATAAATACAAGTCAATATCAAATGATGGGCCGAAAAGATTATATGTTCCATTATATATAGCTTTCTTTTCATTCTTTACATGACTTAAAACATAATTTTCGATATTATTATCTTTAAAGGAGAATATAAAACTATCTTTAGTAATGCCATATTTACCATCAAATTTCCATTCTATCGGATTATAACCTCCAAGAATTTCATTACTGTTTTTCACTTTAATAACTGTTATGGTTCGAGATAGATTACTGCAAATCTCTCGGAATTTATCAAAGCCATCATTCTGTTCACCAGCAGACTCATCACGAGATTCGCGATATAATAATTTGAATTCATATGAAGTTGTTAACTTGTCTGTAATTTTTAATTTATTAATCCATTTTGAGATTAATTCAACATGTTGATTTGAAATAATCACTGAATCGACTTTAAAATTTTTAGGCGGCCTATAATCACTATTCAAAAAGGTTTTTAATAAATCTATGTATAATTCCTTGGGAAGAATTTCTCTATAAGGAAATACATTATGTAAAAATTCTTTTGAAGTTAAATTTTGAAATTTAATATAAGGGATACATTTTTGTAAGGTATTTTTTAAGGTATTAAAATCATCTTTTGCAAAGCTTGTATAATCAGGAGGAAGTTCCGAATTTTGTGCAAGTCCCCATTTTATCACATGTTCCCAAATTTGAATTTCGCTAATTCGAAGATTATTATTTTGAATAGTCGCAATTAATAATTCTTCTTGAATTGAAGAAAAATTTGGTGAATTAAATATTTTATTTGGCTCTTTGGAAATCAAATCAATACAATATTTCCGAATTTCTAAGAAAGAATCATTTTCACAACTCATTTGATATATTAAATCAAAATGTTGTTCCACCCAATTTTCTTTATTTTCAAGCAAGAAGGTTTCTAAATAAGGTATTAATTCTTGAAGATTAAGCTCATTAACAGTAATCAAAATTTTAACAATATTTAAGATATCATATTCTTCCAATGGAATTATTCCTCCATAGATATATCTAGTAAGTAAAAATGATGATATATTAGAAATTATTTATTAAAAAACACATTGAATTTTTTAAATTAATATTTTTATTACCTTAATATTATTTGAAAAATTTCTGGTGAAATATTTGGTAAACTTATATGTGTCAAAATTTCGTCATTCTTCTTCTTATTGGTTGATAAAACTCTTCGCAAATATAGTGAACGATAATTTAAAATGATTTTATGAGCACGAAATATTTTTACGTCAGGGTCTTTGCCAACCTCAATTATAATATCATAATATTCTTCATCATCTAAAGTTTCGAGTAAATTTTGAGATAATTTTGGCAAAAGTTTATTATCAACCATTATAATTTTTAAATAAAATTGAGAAAATGAAAGAAAACAATTCGAAAATATCTATTTTTAAACTTTGTTTAATAGGCACGTGAAAATATACAATTACATGTGGCTTCACGTTCATCTGCTGATCCGTTAATTATAGCTGCGACCCGTTACCCGGGTAAAAATGGGTAATACCCGTTTTGTATCCGTTGTGTTGCACATATAACCTGGGTAATCACTGAGTTAAGATGTTAACTCTGGCCAGAATTTTAATGCCGGCCAGAATTAACAACAACTCTTATTTGATAATTTTTTTTATTTTCCAAAGTTTAGATAATATAATAAATATCTTGATTTGTATATTTATTGAGAAAAAGAATTGATATTTACCCGGTCAATACCTGGATATTACTTGAATCATATCATAAAAGGTAAATTTGTATAACGGGTAATACCCATTATGTTTTGATTTGGTATGATCCGGATCTAGAAATTCTGACGGGTTGCAGCTCTAGTGTCAACCTCGTGACTGAAGTTCTCGAAAATCCTTCACTTCTTCCTGTACATCAAACTTTATTTAACAACTTAAGTTAGAATTGTGATGATAGTCTTTTTTAATGGATTGCCAAAAAGCGAAAACTCAATTTCCTCTTTGTCACAATATCGGAATTATCATATAAAAATGGCTATGATTGTGACTATATGAAAATACTGATTTGTTTATACCTTTGGGCTTTGGCTATTAAAATGTTCAGTTTTGAGTGTAACGAACTCAACGAAGGACTATTAATTCTACGCAAAGGTTTCATAAAAGTGGCTCGTAAAAAGTCAATGCAAGGTTCACTCATTAGTCACACGTGTGCTCCGGACTTAAAAACGGGTTCTGAAAGTATATATAACATTAAAAAAGAATTATAAACAGTGTAGTTATTTATATTTTATCAAAAAAATGATATTCACTTGAATATATATTAGTAGTAAAATAAATCAAAAGTAATTTATAGTTATGTAATTTCGGTGCACGTACTTTCAATGAACATTTGTAAAAAATTGTACATTATTCATTTCTAATAAGTTTTATTGAATAAGCAATTAAAGAATGACGAGCTCTTGGTGATTCAACAAGAATCACAAAAAGTATGCTAAATTTATTAGCTACTCGAATCTTGTTTATTGATAATTTTTACTTAATAAATTCTAAAGTTTTATTACAGTATGATCTTTATTGTCATCAATTTATAATTTTTTTTCGTTAATAAGTTCTAGAAGACACCAGATATTAGTTAAACTTCAGATCAAAAAAAAAATTCCATTCACAAACTGAAGCTTACTATTGTAAATTGGAATAGGATGACAGCAAAAAATTAAGTTGCTCTTAATAAATTAGAAAAATAAATACGTTTCAAATCAAACAGTACTATCAAAAGTAATAAAACGCAATCAGTTTTGAGAATTATCTGATTACTATAACCATGAGATGGATTAAATTATAATTAATTTTTTCATTCACATCAAAACTATCGTATGATATTTTACTAGCGACTTCATATTTCATATGAATATGTCTGTTCATTTAACAAATCACATCATTTATTAAGTTGAATTTATATGAATATTTGTTTTTTATTTTTAATTATAATAAAATTATTTTCATTATTAAAAAGCATAATAATAATTTAATTATTAACGTTCACCAAGAAGATTTAATTTTTGATTTTTTAATTTATTTTTATTTAACATAGAAGAACGTAACAGCTTTACAAAGTACAACTGGAAGTGAATATTCTAATAAATCTCAATGAATAAATTATTTTTTTAAAAAAATTCAATAATGGCCATTGAATCAATTAATATTTTTTTTAAAAAAAAAAATAAAAAAATATTTAATTAATTGTTAAATTATCCGTTCAGATCGGGTTATCAAACAAGTTAGATCATGATACCATGTTTGTCCGTGATTTCAAGTTAAAACAGGTTATCTCAAAAATGCTGCGTAATAAAAAATTGTATTAGTATTTTAATGATATTAATAATTTAAATTTTTTGGAAAAATAATTTCTCTCTTTTTTATATTTGAAAAAGGTTTTAAATTTGTCAAAATCAAGAATTTAGTTTATAATTAGGTTCAACCTCGGTCCCTTTATATTTAAGTAAATTTTCAAAGTTAAATTTTTCATTATATTACTTGTTATGATAATAATAGAAGAATATCTTGGTAAAATCATTCATAATAAAATAAAAATGAGAAGCATTTAAACTGATTAGAATTTTTTTAATAATTGAGCGTATTAGACGTCAGATATAATGATAACTAATATTAGTAAATTAAAGATCATTCAATTAAACCAATTTAAAAAAATTAACGTCGGCTATTGCAATAATTGAATAATTCTTTGCAAATAAATGCAAATAACGATTATTTTATTTGTTTATAATTTTTTTTCTAAAAAAGACTGTTTGGCGGCCCAGATTTTTTTATTTAATAATCTATAGGAATCAATACAAATAAAATAAAATATGGATAATATGAAAATTAATACAAATCTTTGGGTTCAATATAAATCTTACACAATTTGAAATACTTCAAATTTTTCTATACATAATTGGTTGATTTCTCCGATATGTTTTTCATAAGAACTTTTTTCACAACTAAATCTTAATTGGCTAAAAGCATCGCTGTATAATCTCAAGTCAATATCAAATGCTAGAATAAGATTGTACAATGTCCCACTATATATAGCTTTCTTTTCATTCTTTACATGACTTAAAATGTAGTTCTCGATACTATTATTACTAAAGGAGAATATAAAACTATCTTTAGTAATTCCAAAGTTATTATCAAACTTCCATTCAATCGGATTATATCCTCCAAGAATTTTGTTACTATCCTTCGCTTTGATAACTGTTATGGTGCGAGCTTTATTTAAGCAAATCTCTCGGAATTTATTAAAGCTATGGTTCAGCTCACCATGATAATCGTGATATAGCAACTTAAACTCGTATAAGGTTGTTAATTTGTCTTTAGTTTCTAATTTATCAATCCATTTTGAAATTAATTCAGCATGCTGAAATGTAATTATTTTAGAACCAATATATTTTGAATGTATTCCTTTATTTTCTTCGATTATACGAGGTACTGGTTTTTTACTGTCATTATCCAAAAAATAATCTAACAAATCATTATATAATTTCTTTGGTAAGATTTTTTTATAAGGTTTTACTTCTTTCAAAAATTCTCTTGAACCTAAATTATGGAATCTAATATATGAAATACATTGTTGTAAAGTATTCCTTAAAATATTGAAATCATTCTTTGAAAAGCTTATAGGATCAGAGGGAAGTTCAGGATTTTGTGCAAGCCCCCATTTAATTACATGTTCCCAAACTTGAATTTCGTTCATTTGAAGATTATTATTTTGGACAAGCGTGATTAAAAGATTTTCTGGAATTGAAGAGAAATTTGGGGAATTGAATATTTTGCTTGGTTCTTTAGAAACTAAATCTTTGCAGTATTTTTGAAGTTTCGAGAAAGAATTATTTTCAAAACTTGTTTCATATATCAAATCAAAATTTTCTTCCACCCAATTTGCTTTATTTTCAATTAAAAAAGATTCTAAATAAGGTATTAATTCATGAAGACTCAATTCATTAGCAGCAATCATAATTTTAACAATATCTGAATTATCAAATTCTTCAAAAGAAATTTTCCCCCCATAGATATACCTAATTAAATGACAATAAGTTAAATAATAAAATAAAATAAAAATATTAAGATTAATATTATAATAATTCTTTTTTACCTTAAAACTATTTGAAAAATCTCTGGTAAAATATTTGGCAATTTAATATGTGTTAAAACTCCGTCATTTTTCTTTTTATTAGTTGACAAAATTCTTCTCAAATAAGGTGAACGATAATTTAAAATAATCATATGAGCACGAAATACTTTTACGTAAGGGTCACTACCAACTTCAATTGTAATATCATAATATTCTTCATCGTTTAATATTTCAAGTAAATTTTGTGATAATTTTGGCAAAAGTTTATTGTCAATCATTGCAATGTGAGAGAAAAGAATAAAAGAATCCAAAAAAATCTTAGTTTTAAACCTTATTTAATAGATGATGTAGAATTGCACGTGACTTCATGTGCGTCTTGTTACACTCACGTGATTCGATGCCGATGGTTTGTCATATCGTTTAATATAAATTTATAATTATCACATTTGTAATATCCTGAATCTTGAATTTTTGATAAACGATGTTGCAATTTACATGAAAGAAAAAATGACGCAGTGTTTATATTAACTTAGAAATGATTGTGTGAGCGCGACATTTTTCTGCGGTGATACTGGGGAAATTGCATCTGCCGCGCCATCAACTTTTCGGTAAGGAAATGGATCTTTTTTTGTATATAATAAAATTTGCAAAATTAAGATATTTCTAGTTATGATTAGTAGGAATGTTAAAGGTCCGACTGGCCGCAGTCCTAGGACTGGACTGATTGGTCAACAATTTATTGACTAATTTGCTAAATTTATGATCGGTAAATTATTAACTGATTTGTCAACAATTGTAACAAAAAATGGCTATATAGTAAATAAATAATTTTTTTTGTTTGCCTTTAATAAGAACAAAAACAATTTTTTTCGTTAAAGTAAACGACCACCCAATTCATTTTTGACGAATTTTTTCGTGGTCATAATCAATCGTCAGTAATACTGGCCAAAAGTTGGCCAAATTTACAATTCTGGCCCGAATTAAAATATTTCCTAATATAAAACTTCGTATAATATATATTAAGCAAATTTAAAATTTGACCAGTAGCTGAACTTTTATCCGGCATCAAGTGAAATTATGAATAATGATATATTACGCCAATTTCCATATTAGGAACTCTGACCATAATTATAAATTTTCAGAAAGTTATAATATAAATAATAGTAATAATAAGGTAAAATTTTGCATTAAACGGTTAGTGCACAATATCGTGATTCACGATAAATAAACATTTAAGTTAATTTATTAGTATTTAACATTATATCCCCTAAAAGTTCATGTTGTTTTTTTTTTTATTAATTTATTTAAGGGTTCATTCAATTAATATTATTTA